CTTATACTTAATTTAATCCTCATAACAACCTTTGAAATATGCATCATTATTTTTGTGCAGATGAAAAAAATGAGGTAAAGAAAAGTCCAGAAACTTGCCCAAGGTTGTACATTAACCCAGTTAACATGGCTGCAGATCCAAGCTTTTAACTCCTCCATTATAATACTTACCCCACAGCCGGGCATAATAATGCATGTAAATGTCTGGCACAGTACAGAAGACTAGTGAAAATTCACTAAACAGTAGTTCTTGTTTTTATTATGAAGTAAAGTTAATGATTCTGCATTAGTTACACTCTCTGGGTTCTAGTCAAGTCCTTTTTCTACTTGCACTCTCATCAATAAAAACTGTAAGTATGTTAAATGTAGTAGCCACATTCATTGTTTCACATATCTTCATGTGAATGCAAGCTACTGGGAAAGAAACAACGGGTAGAAGCTGCCGGATAAAATTCTAGAAAAGTATAGGTCTGTTTTACCCTTGCCAGTCATTACTAAAAATACAAACTTTTTCACTGACTTGCTATATTTGATCATTTATTCCGTCTCTTGCCCTATATACATATGTCCAAGATGATTTCTTTTCACATGTTAGCTCTTATTTCCTGCTAATAATGATATGCTTCCCTCTGTGCACAGAGATATCTTGTAATCATGGCAAACATTCATTGTACATCTACTTCCTGCACACAGCCTGTGCTTATACTTCACAAGCACTGTCTCATTTAATCCTCACAGCAGCCCTGTGAGAGAGAAACCATTCTTGGCCCCGTCCTATAGAGCTCCAAGGAATTAAGCAACTTGCCCAACATCTCAGAGTAACTGGCAGAGCTGAACTTGGAAGACTAAGCTCTTAACCACTATGTGCCAATAACCTTCTTTCTCCTTAACTCTGGCTGGACCTTTGTTTTATGCCATTTTGCCATGAATACATTAATTGATTATTATTATTTCAAGAAGGGTAAGGGCACGGTCCAGGGCAGCTAGGTGATCCACTTAACCCAAAGCTGACCATGTTGGTCTCAGCAGCAGTGCAGGGCTGATGAACTTACCAACCATCCAGCCTTTTCCACTGCTTCAGTCTGATCAGCCACCATCATCTCTTGCTTACACCATAACAATCGTTTCTTAATGACCTCACTGCTTTCTTTCCTGTCCCTTCCATCTACAGTGTATTCTCCACCTAGCAGCCAGTGTGATCATCTTAGAATAGTGAAAACAATCTGTCACTCCCTTGCTTAAAACTTTTCCTTATCTCTCCATCCATATTTAGAATGAGTATATTAATGATCTTACTTACCCATTTATAAGATTATACTGGCTGCTATGTGGTGAGTGGACTATTGGGAGCAAGAGTGAGAGCAGTTAGGAGGCTACTGCAGTGATCTAGGTGGACATGATGCTGGGTTGACTAAGAGTAGCAGTGGAGATGGAAAAACCATCACAGTTGCTGTTGAGGTGATTCCAACTCATTGCGACCCTATGTTGTTAGAGTAGAAATGTGCTCCACAGGATTTTCATTGGCTGATGTTTTGGAAGTATATTTCCAGTCCTTTCATCTGAAGCACCGCTGTTGTTGTTGTTATGTGCCGTGGAGTCGGCCCCAACTCATAGCGACTCCTCCTTTGGTTTCTGAGGCAATATCACTATGGAAGTAAATTGCCCAAACTTCCTTCCGAGGAGTGGCTGGGGGTTTGAACCACCAGCCTTCTGGTTAGCAGTCAAGTGTCTTAAGCACTATGCTACCAGAACTCCTAGAAGACTGTTGTTGTGTTTGCCATCGAGTCAGATCCAAATCATAGCAACCCCTCCTTGGGTTTCCGAGGCAGTATCACCAGGGAAGTAGATTGCCCAACCTTCCTTCCGAGGAGTGGCTGGTGGGGTTGAACCACCAGCCTTCTGGTTAGCAGTCAAGTGCCTTAGCCACTATGCTACCAGAGCTCCCTGAAGCACCGCTGAAGCACTCACTGACATCAATTCAATTACAACTCATAGCAACCCTGTAGGGTTTTCAAGGCTGTAAATCTTTACAGAAAGAGACTGCCTCATCTTTCTCTCACAGAGTGGCTGGTGGTGGGCTCAAACCACTGGCCTTGTGGTTACCAGCCAAATGCCTTAACCAGTTTACCTCTAGGGCTCCTTTTATACCACCCAGGGACTCAGTGTTTGAGAAGCAGAACTCTAAAAACTTGGCAGTGATGTGAATTCTGTGTTTTATTGCAGTGTTTTCAAATGTCATCAGAAATCTTTGCATAGATCACTCTGGTTTCTCAAGAGGTTGACATTCACAACCCATTGAAATGTAATAAATTTCTGTTGACCACCTATGGTATATTAGGAACAGTGCTAGGAATTTTGAAAGGAGGAAAAGAAGCTTCCTTTTTCTTCAAAGAGGTCACAGTCGGATAGGAACACTAAATATGAAAACAAATAAATTATAGCAGTGTGATAATTGTAAAAACAGTATTACCTACAAGGCCCAGTACATGATAACATCAAGGCTAAGATTAAAGTCAACGAGGATATTAATTCTGACACAAGGGATAGGGAGAAGTCATATGAGGCAGCATAACATATACAGAGTTTTGGAATGGAAGTTGTTAAACTTTATGGTGTGGTTAAGATTTATAGATAATATGTGAAATATAAGTCTGGAGAGGTAAGCAGGTACAAAAAGGGCATGGAGGCAGCATCCTCCTCTGACCTCCTCTAACTTCACAAGGGGGAGAGAGAAGGCTCACTGAAGGCTGATTACTGTGAGGCCAGACGTGCCACCACCCTCCAACCTTCTTAACAACTCTGACACCAACCATCCCTCCCATGACATTCACTACTTCTCTTCAGGGTTCAGTAATTCATTGCAGTGGCCACACAGAACTCACAGATAATACTCATGATTATGGGGTTTATTAGAGAAGTAATAGGTTGCATTTCAGGTTCAGGAATGCTCAGGATACAATTCTTTAATCAGGACAGCCTCCCCATGGCCGTGCCCTGAGGCACGCCTCTCTTTGGCCTTGACCTCTCTGTCTGCCCTGCTCAGGCAAGTGTTACAAAGCTCTTTCAGTTTTTCCCATAGATAGGTACACCTAAGTGCACCTCACTCCACCAACAGGCCTCCAGCCCAAAGGCAGTCATCTTTCTTGCCCTATGCTCTGGTAAGCCTGCCACTGTCTTGTGCCGGTCTCTCAGTTCTGCTACTGCCATCTCTTTCTCTGCCAGTCATCTCTGCTGGTCTCTCTTCTAAGGAGGGCCAGTATAGGGATCTCAGGTTCTAGGATGCACTTCATTCCACCTCCAGCTCTTCTTTTTTGATGGCAGTGAGATACCCCTCCTGCCTCTAGAAGGGCTCACTTGAAACCTAGCAGAATGACAAAACTAACCAATCCCCACATTAGGATTCCGTACACTTTATTTCCATGGTCCTGCCCCCATAAGTGTGCCATGTACCTTATTTACATTATTAGCAAGTATCCAGTCTCCTTGGTGGGCCACAAACACCTTACGTTTGTATTGTTCCACCCAGTAATCTGTGTGAGTCACAAAGACCATGGCTAGAAAAGACATAGTAAGTAATTCACTGTTCCCCACAGCAGGGCAAGGTTATGAAGAGCCCTTTAGGCCAGCTCAAGATAGTGGATTTTGTCATATAGGCTAAGTATATTCCAAAGTATATTCATACCACTGATGGTGAAAAACAAAAGCAAACCTGTTGCCATTGAGTAAACTCCAATCCATAGCAACCCCATGCATCTCAGAATAGAACAGTGTAGGGCTTTCAATGGCTGAATTGTCAGAAATAGATCACCAGACCTTTCTTTCAAGGTATGTCTGGGTGGACTCTAGCTACTAACCTTTTGGTTAGCAACTGAACACTTAACCATGTGCATTACCCAGGGAGGCCCACTGATGGTACAGGATCATTTTGGTGATGTAAAGACAAGCATGTGTTAGTGAAAAGGTTATTTTATATATATATAAAACTATTAAGCTTCCTTTCAAAGTAAATTTATCTGTGTTAAGTCAATTTAAAGAAAAATAATAAGTTAATCATAGTAGAAGTGGGCAGCAGATATGGGTTAAATCATGAAAGTGGAATGCAGGCGGCCAAAGTTTGGGGCACCCTTCTGTGCACAGGGAGACCCATTGAAAGAGTTACAACAGGGAAAAGATGTGATTGGATTTGCAGTCATTAAGATCTATCTCATGACCAGGAGGAGAATGAATATCATTCTTGTGTCCCTGAAATCAATTAAGAGGCTCCTCTATAGTTGTCAGGAGCCTTGATGGGACAATGGTTAAAGCATTTGGCTGCTAAACAGATGGTCAGTGGTTCAAACCCACCAGCTGCTCCATGAGAAAAAGATGAGGCAGTCTGCTTCCATAAAGATTTCAGCCTTGGAAACCCCATGGGGCAGGCAGTTCTACTTTGTCCTATGGGGACACTATGAGTCAGAATCAACTTGATGAAAGTAGATGGGTATATAAAGGTGAATTTCCGTGAACCAGAAGAGCATTTAGTAAGGAAGGAGTAGGCAGAACTTCCAATATTGACTTGAAACTTTCCTCCCTATAATATATCTGCATTTGTTAGAATTATAGCAAAAGAAAACAGGTGAAGGTTTTCCTGAATGAGACCTGACAAGAGGTGAAAGATTTGAATTTGTTTTCTCTCTTCTGCAGCGTCTTTCAGGTGTTTCCCTACCTAAAAGATTTTAAGTATATATTCAAATGAATTCCCAATGTAGCATTTTTCAGGGTACTTTATGGAATCAGTCAAGGAATCTAAGTCAAGTTTGATGATAGGACATAATTCCTCTTATAAGTTGAAGTGAACTGTGTGTGTTGTTCCTGCTCCTCAACCACACAGCTCCAAGACTTGCTTTCAGTCCAAGCTACATGCATTTCCTTATTTATGGTACCAAGGTCTGTGGTAAAGCATGTTCAACAATGCACTCACTCAAGCATTAATACAGCTCTGGTCTTTTTCCTTTCCCTTAGGTATTTATGGGCCATCGGTAAGAATGTCTGGAAGAGATGGAAGAAAAGATTTTTTGTATTGGTGCAGGTAACTCTTCAACTCTAATACAAGCATATGATCGACCAATATTAGAGACCTGATAGCATTAAATAATGCTTTAAATTAAGGTATGACTTACATAAAGTACACAAAACTTAAGCATTTAGCTCAATGAATTTTTACATATTACATAGTACCTGTGTAAAAACCACTCCAAGAAAGATACACACATCCTAACCAAGTTCTTATAATGACATTTAACAGCCTAGAATCTATCTTCCCACACCAATAAGCTTTTTTTTTTTTTTTTTTTTAACCACAGCTAATCAAATGCCTGATGTTGTTATTATGCAACTTGCTTTTTTCACAGAGGTTACTGTGGACACTCTTCCACATTTGCAGGTATACCTCTGGCTCTAATGCCTGTAGAGTTTTCCTTTTGGTTCAGATTTCCAGACTTCCCCACTTTGGGCTGTTATTAACAATGCTACATGGAGCATATTTGTTTATATATAAATATAGCTTTGTTGTTGTTATGTGCCCTTGAGTTGGAACCGACTCATAGCGACCCCTCCTTGGGTTTCCGAAGCAGTATCACTACAGAAGTAGATTGCCCCATCTTCCTTCCGAGGAGTGGCTGGTAGATTTGAACCACCAGCCTTCTGGTTAGCAGTCAAGTGCCTTAGGCACTATGCTAC